TTTTTTTTTCGATTTGCCAAAAACGTTTTACAGCAATACAAACAAATCACACGTAACATCTGTGATCACTGATATTCATTGTATAATATTTTGCTGTTATGGGCGAAGTTTTCGTCGATGGCTATGGCAAACATATTTTGAAATCGTTTAGTGGAAATTAATATGCGTTGAACAAATATTTCTCTCCCCAGCGTTTCTGTCCTCTGAAACACTGTCTGCGACCTCCGGTGATGTTTCACGAATTGGAAAATATTTTTACGGGTAACTGTGATACATTATGCAGACTTCAACTGATTTTATTGAACGGCTTTACAGAAAATTGCTAAAATGTTTAAAAAGTAATATTTCAAATAATTTATTTTCTGAAAGTTTTAATTAAATTGCATACGCGAACTAAAGAAAAATAATAGAAACACGTTTGATAATATAATAGGATATAATTTCAGACAGTTGTTTTACCAAGCATTTTTCAATTTTAAATCAATAGGTATAATATCAAATCACGCAGTATGCATGAGTATGTTGCAAATTTAGTAGATCACTTTAAATTCTAATTAGAAAAACATTCTCTCAAGTGAACCGTAAAAATAAATGAGATTTGAATGAGTAATCGGTGATGCTGAGTGATATAAGTGCATCGACGCAGAATTGAGACTTTAGTGCGTATTTAGGAAAGTATAGAATTTAAAAGAAACGTGTTACGTTAAAAATTACAAGAATAGTCAATTTTCGCCAATCACAGATGTAAACATTTCCGCTGGGTCTTCGTGCGCACCGCATTTGGTTACGGTTCCACACCCTATCCACCCGTTTGCCATCCACGGATGGTAGTTAGTCACGAATAGGTAGCTTTACCTAGATATTATATCATACGGAAGCACGTGAACGAACGCGACCCCCGTGTAGCATGCCAATCCCGACATTCGTATAATTAATTAAACTAAGCCAAGGGAACATGAAGTTATGTGAGCTTACTCTGCTAACTATAACAACTTGTGTATCATATACATAGACTTTTCCTTGTCTGCGATCCATCATTCTTAGAACTTAGGAAAGGTGGAATCCTAAACTCAAGTAAACAGTACCAATTTGCTGCTTAAATACACTCGAAAATTTTATTTTGTTAAAAGATCTCCTTATTTCTTTTCTTTTACCTTGTTAGCTAAGAATGTAAATTTTTGCTAGAAACATGGAAAAGACTGATTAAAAGAAACTATTAATATACGGAGCTGTTAATATCTCGGGGTTCCACTCGACGCGCGAAGACGTATGAAAACGTATGAAAATCATGATGGTAATCGAAAATACCATTCCGGGTCATTTGTATTCATGCAGTACGATAGAATAGTAACAAGCTCAATAAGGTCGATAGAACGATGACAAAAATTACCTGCTCGGTCGCGTAAACGCATTTGAGCCTTAACAAACGATATTATTAGCTGCATTGATTTGGTTTAATCAACTCCTATCGTGCAAATCGCCCGCAGGGTTTGTGTATTGGCGCGGGCATCGGCGAGTGCGATCACGCGACTCGATGAATCGAGGACAAACGTAAAAGGGTGAAAGGACACAGATGCGCAAACCAGCCAACCAATTAACCAACCAACGAACGTCGCGTGTTTGCCGAATTAAATAAACTGGCCGCCAAAATCCGGCTAATGATAAGTCGTTGCGCGTTTGGGAATGAAGGTATTATTAAAATCGAATAGAAATATCACTACTGGATAGCAACAGTGAGCTGTTTGTATGATTGATCGAAAAACTGTTGCTACATAGTGTCCATCGTCCTTTCTTTCACTGAGAGAAATTTAAGTGACAACAAAATTTGATTTGCTGCGAGAGCAAACTTTTTGCTATTGCAACAAAAGGTTTGCTACTATTGCTAAATTAATTAGCTCTCGCAGCAAACCAAGTGTTTGTTGTCACTATAGTGACAAATGATTTGCTAATATAGCAAAAAATTTCTCTCAGTGTTTGATCGCAAATTTTTTAATAATTATATCATTCGATTCTCGGGAACGCAAAGTGACAAGTCGGTTCATCATGTATTATTTAAAAAAAGGAGTAATTAAATCGTCGATGAATTGTTGTCAATTTTGATATTTAAATGTTTCGGTAAATTGTTCATTAAAAATACAAAGCTTTTTCAATAAGTTTTGTACACGACGACTCTAGTAGCCATATTATTGATTTGAAGCGTTTGCCGTCCACTTGGTGGTGAATGTTCGATCTAATGCTTAATTCACAGACTATTATCGTGACATGCGGATCGCAAACATGTATCTGCATAATGCCCTTTTACCGCGAACGATTTCAACGATTCTATGTCACGAAGCTTGTAATTACGGAAGCGATTGTGGATGGTGTATATTGATATGAGATTTATCCGCTAAACTATACTATAATATATGACCATCGAAATGCTGTAGAATTATCCTTCTTTTATTGACCTGTCAATTATTTAATGAATTTATGAGCAGATTACTTCTTTACGAAAGTATCAAAGTCTCGGCAGGTACCTCTTTTTATTTCAAACAGAACAAATCGCTTGCAGTAAATAATAATAAATTGTTCACTAAAATATATGAATTTTCTAGTAAAATGCGATTCGCAACAGATACGTATAACCACGTGACGTTTAAAGTTCTCATGGAAAAATTTAATTTCTTAATGTCCTGAATTCAAAATTTTCGACGGCACATTTTAAAATATGCGAAGTAAGTAACGTTGTTAATAAAGTCATATGAATTGATTTATGACTTCATGATTGACGTGCAGATTGATTTATTTTTACAATCTTCCATAGATGCCAAACGTTATCCACTTTTGCTCGATGGAATCTTGATAGCGACAGTATTTGAAAATCAGGTTACACGTAAGGTAGCATGCAACGAATATTTTAAGGTACGACCTACCCTAAAATATTCGTTGAAAAAGAGACAAATAGCTTCTTGGCTAGCTATATGTATCTACCCTAGTCATTTTTGTCAGCCTGAAAAGAGTACGCATTCCATCGTGACACCTCGTCCAACGCTCAAGGCACACATCATGTATTTTATCATACTTGATTTTGACATGGATGTACTTTTTGCCGTCTACAAGGTGTCACGAGATATTCCCGAACGCTTATGAATCACAATATCGACTCTACGGAATCAGTCCCCTGACTATTCTAATCTCGTCACGGGATTGTATTGTCGCTGTACGTATGCGATAATAACAATTAATCATGTGCAACCTGCTGTGCCAAGGTTTTTTTGTCCACGATGTGTCACGAGACATTCTTGGTCATCTATGAAAAATAGACAATAAACCATTCAGTTCAAGAAATATTGCTTCCAATTTAATTTACCGTGTGCAAAACTTACTTACCTTTCAAATTATTGCATTGAAATGCTCCAATGCTATTGGTTCAGATTTTTTCTATTCCAATGAGAGTCAGGATAAATCTTGTTATGTTGCAATGACGAGGTAATCACGAGTGATCATAGTTACATGCAAGCGCGGCAATTTGACTATCAACATTTACATCTAGCTGTTTAGATTTGTTTCTGTGATTTGCATTGTATTCTCTGTCCGGAATATTTGGAATATCTCTCGTAATGAAGTACATCGCGCTGCATCCACCTACAATTATTGGCGGCCGAAATGATCGAAAATCAAATCTCTCGCGGTCGGAAGAGATGTCCCCGTTATTAAGTCTCGTTTCGCGGAACGAGATATCGGATGAGATAGCCGGGGAAAGAAATCAATGGTCACTCCTCTACCTTCATCATGACTCATCCACGTGTTCCGTCTTACCTGGCCGAATCAATTTCCTGGCCGTATCGCGAAGGGGGCGATCGTTTTGTAGGACTTCCTTCGTTGTCTAAGATATCCCAGAAATTTATACCCCAACCACTCGGATCGTTTTACGATCAATTACCGGTGGCGAATTACTAGCCGGGGTGGTAGCGGTAGCCGATATCGGACTTAATTAACTTAATAACGATAAATAGTAGTATTTATGAATAACTCAATTACGTCCAGCGCGAACTTGCTCGTTTACATATTTCTGCAGGCTAATAGTATTAATAACATAAATAACGTAAATTAATGATGCGTAACGGATATTGTGCATTTGCGCATTTGCGGTCGGTGTACATTTATTTTTATCCGTTTATACGATTAATTGATGCACGATGAAACGTTATCTCGAGATCAGAAATGTAAACAACCGCTTAACGGTATAACTTGCTAGAAACGAAACATCTAAATCTATCTTTCTTGTTCCTACGTTTTTTTCCTTTGCTTAATAATTTACAAAAAATTTTGAGAGCATCAAATTTTAACGAAAGTAACGAAATATTCAATTATTTAATTTTTACATAAAAGATTGTGTGCCTTTCATTTAAAATCTGTTTTGCATGTTCTACATTAAATTTGTTTTAAATTATTGAGCAACCAAGTTATTGATATTCGATTGAAATTCTTAACAGTTGTGCGCTTTGGAATATTTACTTCAAATTCTGGCATGCGAAAGTAAATCGATAAGGAAGAAATGGAATTAATGAAGAAATATCAGGATCTGAGAAATTTTAGAAACTGAAAATAAAACGTTTTAAACATAAAACTAGTTACGAAACTTCAACAGAATAAAAAATGTATGCTATTAATTGTTTATTTTATAAAATCGAGTTTTACGCATTCCTAAAAATAGTACATAAAAATTCTAGTATTTGAAATTAATCGTCAAAAATTTTTATTTTTTATCGATTTTAAATCTTTTTTAATTCGGAAGCTGTATTTTTCTAAAAATCAAATTCAAATTTTCTTTATTATGATTTGCTTTATGGTCAACAAATATGTATGAAATCCCGCGATTGAAAAACAAAAATTTTAGAGGGTTTTTTTGAGCGAAGTCTTTGTTTATTAAATTATTTAAATTCATATATCTTTCTTAAGAATTGTTATTGTTTTTTAAGTTGCTTCCTTAAACTGATGACAGATATTTTTTACAGGTGTCTGGCACAACGTTGCGAAAGAATCGTAAAGGAGGAACGGATGACTGCGAGCACGCTCGTGTCCCAATTAAAGAAATGGATACGGTAATTAACGCGAAGCCGCGTCGGCGACTAGGAATAAGGACCAATTCGGCGCGTTAAATACTCCCCGGCGATTCACGTTCCGGCCGGGGCTCTCGCAGATCTGGGATGGCCTTCTGGGAGCAAAAGTGGCAACGGCAACAGCAGCACCAGCAGCAACAGCAGCGATATCGGATCAAACTCAGTTAACAAACCCGTGTGTCGTCGCCGTATCGGTCGCGCAAGTAGATAGATTTTAAATCGAGTCAGCTGCGGGACAACGGTAACGAAGTTAACGCGGCAAAATAATCCACGGGCGATTGGATCACGTATTCTGTATATAATGGAAGAACGTGAAGCGAGACGGTAGTGGACCCCGAGGATGGTGGGTGCCGCGAGGAAGAAATTGAATCTTGTCTTTATACGTCGCCTAATCGCTCGACGCATCGCAGACGTCAAGGGAGATTCTATCTGATGCGGGACACGGAAGAATGTAGATACAAGTATAGTTACAAGGGAAACGCTATTAACCCCATCCTACCCCATTCGAAATCTTTCACGTGTACATCGACGGTATCCACGATCGACCGCGAAAGCACAGGCTATAAAATATAACGCAACGCCGACGTCGTGCCGGGAATCGTGCCGGATGTCGCGAGGAAAGGGAGTGACACGGTGAGAGAGGATTCAGAGACAGCCGATCCCAGGAATGTGACACGTGACAGAATTCCGCGTGAGGAAATCTACCTTCGAGCAGCGACCGTGGAACGAGAGGGAAAGAGAGGAAGGTGCGGGATAATACGACGAAGACTCATCCCGACAAGTGTCCTTACGGATTCAAGTTTCCTCCTCGACGTCCTCCTCGTCGCGAAGCGGCGTTGACCCTGTTATGGAATGAACCGATGCCCGGACGGGGCATTTAAGTGTCCGCGATCATCATCCTCGATACGAGCATCATGACCCCGATGATGCGGCTGCTCCTTCTATCCGCTCTACTGGCAATACAATCCTGCTCGACCGTCTGCTCGGCGAGCAGCGATGGTGGACCCAACAGCCCGATCTTCAATCTGGATCACACCGCTCTGGAGAAGAACCTGGCGGCGATCTTCAATAAGGTGGCGCATAGTTCCGCGACCACGAAGCGTAGCGTGCCGGCGTACGATGCTCAAGTGTCGGCCAGCACAACGTTGTCGACGGTACCGTCGCCGTTAACCACCAGTACGATCACCAGTACAACCACTGCCAGCCCGTCGATACCCGCTATCAAATATCCTGCGGCGCCGCGGGCCACGGCATCACCCGTCTTTCGGGATCTACCGTCGTACGCGCCGCCCTCCAGAGCACTCTTCACGCCACCCCTGCCGCCAGAGTACCTACACCCATTTGCCGACAAGCCCACGCTGCGAGGTACCAACTCGGACGTGCACACCGGCAACAGGAGGCCGGTACCGCCGCCGAGCTTGACGCCGGCGCACGAGCGGATACCCATCCGACCGCCGGATCTACCTCAGAGTCCTTCTCAGGTGCCGGAGAGGCATCACACGAGGAACAAACCGGCAAGCGTGCCCGACAGCAGGGAGCAGAGGCCTGCGGAGTCCGGCGAGGCCGATCGGAAGAACGGCACGAACGATCCTTCGTTCGTGACCCTTCATTACCCCAGTATTTCTAGGATCTTATCTGGCAGCAACGGCAGGAAACAGGATATTCCTGACATCCTGCTGAAGCCCCTAGCCACGAAGAGCCCGTTGCTGCCGAATGTACCTCCCGCCCTAACGACCGACAAAACCACGTCGCCGCCAAGCACCATCATGCCGAAAGCGTCCGGCAGTACCACGGATCCTTCGAAGGTCGCCGTCACGCAGCCGACGATTTTCAATCTACCGAACACTGGCCGGCAGGACGACGACGGCTATCACGGCCTGAGGAACGAACACGGCCTGAAGACTGACAGTATCGAGATAGTAGACACAGAGAGACTGCCATATCCGCAGGCGCAACCACCGGCGCCAACGCCGAAGCGACCGGCGAGCGCCAACGACGAAGATGATCGCCTAATACCACAGGTTGACACGCATCCGCTCGAGTCCACGTGGCGGATCGCCTGGTCGCTGCACGTGTACGTCGCGGCGATTATGTTCACGCTCATGGCCTTGTACTCGATCTACAAGATCGTACGTTTCAACGAGGCAACGAATCTACTCACGCAGTCGTACTTCCTAGCCGTACATCTGCTACTGACCACAATCTGCACCTTGAGATGCTTCCACCTCTTCTACGACGCTTACAATCTCGGACACTCGCTGCCGGAGTCATTGTCTAGGGTGCTGATGTACCTGCCGGCACCGCTCTTGTCCACGGCGTTTGCCACTCTAATGTTGTACCTCGCTCGGTGCTCGGAGGCACCCTCGCTTAACAACAACATTCTTTCGCCCGTCACGCTTGTACTTTCGTCCACGGTGCACATCGTGCTGTGCGTGTCCCTGCATGTGTCCGCGCATATGCTCGGCTATCAGGACGAGGCGAGGATTCTGCCGCTCATCTGTCAGTGCATCTATATTGTCGTCTGCGTCACCTTAGGCCTGTGCTACATGTACGTGTACCGCGTGGTACGTTTGCAGATCCACATGGCTAGCAATAAGGCGGCCGGCGCGAATCATATAATGGGCGCCGATCCTACCACGGTGGCTCTCAGTACTGCCATCACCACCACTATCGCCACCGCTTTGTTGTTCATTCTCATGGGCTTCGTGCAGCTTTATGGGATATTCGGCGTCCAGGAACGTCCGCCACAGTATCCGTGGCTCTGGTGGGGCTGGCAGTTCTCCGTCAGACTGCTAGAGCTGTCCGTTTGTGGTCTCCTGGCCTGGGTCGCCAGCCTGTCCCAGTATCCGTTGCGCGAGAAACAGATGCAGCAACACTCGGCACACTCGGGCTTCGCTCTGTTCCCCTGCGGCAGTTCCACCTCTACGGAAAACATGGACGATGTACTCTACCCCGCTATATGCAGCACCAACCAAGCGATTCAAAATTATACCATGAGAACGGGAAAACAAGTTTACGACGATAGTTTTCCACTGAATACTTTGCCCGAGCATTTGAACATATCAGGTAAAAAAATAGTAATATCTCATAAATTTCTCATTAGCAATCTCTTCATAATTGAATGTATAGAATTTATTTCTCATTCTCGATCCAAGGAAACTAATATTATATTAATTATCTAATGAGACTATTTAATATAACTGTTAATCAATTTATAGAAACTAATATTTATTTGTTGCGCAGGTACCTTTGAGAGACATTCCATCCGCAAGTCAGGTACGATGGGCCACTTTCCTCACGAAGGTCGGGGTTCCTTGAGTCGCCACGGTAACGGCATACAGACTCTAAGAAACTCGGAAACTCGCGGGAGGCATACGCCCGTTCAAGGCCTACACGAACAAGCTCCGACCAGCGGCTCGACGATGCTAGTCGCCGAGGACGGCTTCGTTAGGTTCCGGAGTCTTGGCGCGGAGGAGGACGAGCTGTCCGATACGCAGAGCATGATCGGCACTCACGGCAGGGGAAGCTCGCTCGCCGGTAGCGTTAGATACAACGCGAGGCATCCCACGGTACAGCATCAGCATCCCCATCAGCATCAGCACTCGTTGCAGCAACACTCGCATCCGAGTCAGCATCAAACCCACCACCAACTTTACAACAACACATAAAAGGCTGTGCCAATGCGATAACTAGAACGTGATTCTCGTTGACTCGGTAGGTATAATAAGAAGTGAAATTTTAATTTAATCCAATAACTCGTCATTTTTTGTTGTGTTATTTTTTAACCCTTCGCTTGTAACGTCTTTTTCGGCACCTGTAACTGGTAACGTGGGGTCACTCTTTTCCGACGCCTAAAAAATACTTTAAAGTGTTCTAAAAAAATCTGACAAAATTCATGTTACCTTATTAACTATCCTACTTTAAGGATCAATCGCTATATTGTTGATTTTTTCATTTGTTTAAACAATATCCCCCCCTCTCTCCCTTCGAGCTACAGGGGACAGTCACTTTCGCCAGGGCACGAGTGACCCGACGTTACAAGCGAAGGGTTAAATCTTAAATTCTTTAATTCATTTTCTTGTTGAGACGCTAATATCATAGTATTAGTTTATGCATGCTCAGAGAATTTCTTGATATATATATAAATATGATTAATAAAATTATTTTGAATCATTCATCTTTACAAGTGATGTCCTATAATCAGTGTTCTTTTGTTGCAGACGTAACGTAACGATCGTCGTCGATGAAACATAGGATATATCGACACCCGCGAGAATCGTCGCCCTCGCAAACTTCGGTCTAAACCATAGACCTAGGATAAGAGGTATCTTATCCTAGGTCTATGGTCTAAACTAATTTTATCTCGTACTCTATGTAAGATATGTCCTGTGTATAGACAACCTAATTGCCATTCCTGCTCTCCCGCTTCGCATCGACGTCCGAGCCAAGCCTCTGCCGTACGATATCTATACATATTTATTTTGATCCTCGATAAGCGAGTAAAAGTATACGGCGAACTCGTTTGGGGTTCCTCTACCTATATGTGGGTAGTTCAGGGTATATCGAAACTTGATCTTATATTAGGCACTTGGTACTTATTAAGATTCATGTGATTGAAAAAAAAAATTAAAGAAATAATATGTCTCACTGAAATATATAGGAAAACGCTTCTCTCTCGGTTTTATGTTCACTGTTAGTACCGAACACGGCTGTGGAACGTATTGGAGAAACAAATGATTTTAAATCGGTTCTAATGCCACACAAGGAATTCCGACGTATTTTAGCAAACACGTTGCTATTTATTCGCTGCCACTTTATAGACGACTTCGACGTTATATTGTCCCGACAATTTTTACAATACCGTATAGATTCATTATTTTACATAGTCGTACATACGTTAAAGCATTTCAGTAACCACCTGTTTAATTGATATATTTTTCGTTAAATTTACTGTTATGACGGAATTTCGACATAAAATCAGCTTTGCGATCAGCAGGAAGTATATTTTTTACAAAAATTCTACGCGAGGTCCAAACACACAACTGGGGAAAACAATTACGATTCTGATTCAGGTATTCCGAGATTAGGATATGATTGTGTCAAGCTGAAAGCGATGTTTGTACAGTCGATGATAATTTATCACTCAGTCCAATTGTACGGTTTAGTTAGCGGCTAAGACTAGATTAAGAATTGCGGATTACGTTAAGTTTAGCCGTTAAGTTAGGCAAGACGCGACTAATGTCAACAGGTTTACATTTAATAAATCGAAGGAGAATAAGAAAGACATAAAAAAAAATACTATTACCGATTTAGAATAGATGACATAAGTGCGATTTAACGTCACACACACACACAGGCCAGCATTTATTTTATTTCTCAGATTCTAAGGTACAAAATAGTACTTTTTACCTTTCACTTCGTATATCGATATAGGTCGCAATGTATATGTTTATATATGGACATTGTAAATAAGGTATACGGGCTCGTCGTGAGTGAATCTACTGTTACGATGGAATCCGATTGGATTCTATTCGACACATTGGAATTTATACATCTCTTGGTTGTATAAAAAAGGATGCAAGACTTGTATTTTAATTTATCTCAGAAGCTGTATTTATTATGTGAAACATTCCACGACAAGTGATCAGTGTGGGTGCGCGATCGATTTGTGTGGGATTTTATTGCAATTATAAATTTACCTAGGCGCTAAACGAAACGGAACAAATGTAAATAAAAGCTTTTTTGCGAAGTCTTACGTTTGTCTTAATTTCGAATGAGATTTTTAGTCATTCAAGGTGCATCGGGATGTACGTGAAACATACTCTTGACTTTTACATTTTTATAAAGAATACATTTTAGTTGGAATACATTTTTACAGGTTTTTGTGTTCACGATATTATTAATTTATCGGGATAGCATAACTTAGACAAATTTTACAAGGATGCTGCCGGAGTTTACAACCCGACACGCATTACGCAAAAATATTTCCGAATTTAGGTTTCCTATAAACAAATTTTATATTGTAATATATAAATATAACGTGTTAATTATGTACGTACGCATATTTATATGATTTTGTTTTATTATACCATTTCTTTCCATTTTCATTATCCATTTCAGTATTTAAATTTTTTCGAAGAAAAATATTTTATTTTCAGAGAATATTCATTGATATTATATTTTATATCTCGATATCTACATAGGACAATGGACAACGATATCACAATGTGATTTCTGTTTCTCTCAGAAATCTATTAGAATTTGATCTTTTGGTAAGTACGTTATATGAAAAATTCATATTTTAGTGACAAAAAATTTGATCAACAAACATAAAATAGAAGTAATAATTACGTATATTAATATAAATTGCAAGTACTAATCAATAAATTATATATTTCGTGCGTTTTTCTGCTAGCGGGTTTTTCGCAATCTGTTTTGAAATAAATTCACTGTGTTTGCACCGTCTGATTCATCTAGTTGCTTTATCAAACTCTGATAAAGCGTAATGTAATACGATAAGTTATATAAAGCACAGTCTCATCATTTAGTGTAGTAGATTGAAATTGGTTCATTCACTTCATGATATCGTTCTTTCTTTCTATTTACATAAATAGACAATAACTTAATATATAAGATAAGTAAATTATATCAATCGACGTTTTTATAATACCGGAAGAAAATATGAGCCAGAATAAAAAGTGTGCCACATTAAGTGAAGTGAACAATGAATTCACGGAAGACGTGCTAATAAATATTCTTTCTAAAGTATGCAATGGGAAAGAAGTGCAACTGACAGATTGGAGTTTCAACGAGGGATCTGCTAAAGGCGACAATTATTTGTCAAATGTCTACAAGGGCAAAGTCTATGGCACTATCGACGGCAATCCAAAGCAGTACGTGCAAGCGAATGTTGTCGTGAAGTCAATGCCAAAAAATCCAGGAACGAGAAAGACTCTCAGATGTGCAGACTTCTTCAGTAACGAAATCGCTTTTTATACACAGGTAAGATTAGGCATACTTTTTTTTTAATATTTACACACGTGTTTGAAAAAATGTATATTATTCATTTATCAATTATATTAATCAATATATTAATCAAATAAGCCATTTTCCAATCTAATTGTTGCAGATCGCCAACAGATTTGAAAACTTTCTAGCAGAAAAAGGACAAAGTGATCTATTACGCATACCACGTCATATAATCTCCTCCGCAGATGACGAAAACGGTTTTCTAGTCTTGGAAGATGCCTCTTGTTTAGGATTTCACGCTATATCGCGACAGAACTGCCTAGACTGGCCAGAATGTTCAGCTGTGCTGGAGACGTTGTCTAAATTTCACGCGATCTCATTCGCGTACAAAGATCAAAGGAAGGAAGAGTTTGCAAAAATGACAGATTCTTTAACGGAAACTTTCTTCGGTCGTGAAAACTGGGATTGGTACAAAGGGTATCATGTAAGTAACAGCGAAATGCTATAATTACTTTCCTCCGGATTAAAGCAGCTCTTTTTTTTACAGGAAAAGGTGCAAGTTGTAGTTAAACACGCGTTAGCTACCGAATATCCCGATAGCAAAGCTGAGAAACAATACAATTCCTACGGACTCGGCGCTCTCTTCGACAAATGCACAGAATTGTGTAAGAGAAGAGACGCTCCCACATCTGTCGTAGTCGAGGGTGACTGTTGGGCTCCGAACTTTCTAATCCGCGACGTCGGGCAAAATCAAAAGCAGACAATAATGCTCGACTTTCAGCTCGCACGTTGCGCGAGTCCCGTCACGGACTTATCGTTCCTAATTTATGCTTGCACCTTGAAGTCATTTCGCGATCAATATTTCGACGAGATGTTAAAAGTGTATCACTCCGAGTTGAGCAATGCTATTAAATCGCTCGGGTCTGATCCAGAGAAACTTTACCCATGGGATTTATTTATGAAAGAGGTAAAAAAAGAATGAATGATCGTTTTGCGAAGCCTTTTCTTAGGGGGAGACAACGCTACAATATTAATGTTAATTGCAGGTGAAAGAGCAGTTTGTGTTCGGTGTGTTTACTTCGCTCGAAGCTATTCCACTGTGCCAGTTGAACGTATCCGAATCATTCACCATAGATACCGCTGTTAAGGGCGACGAGGCAATAGACATAGGTGACGCGGTAGACCTTCCCTGCAATGAAACAGCAAGCGGAAGACAAAGATTAGCGGATGTGATAGTTCACGCCGTTGAAAAAGGATACATGTGATGCGAAAAAGCTTTGCTACTTATTAAGATCCGCTGCAAAATATAATTTAAACTAAGAAACGTATTCGACATGTCGATATAATTTCTCCTGCGACACTTGTAACAGAAACAATATATACAATCCAAACAGATGAAACATTTTTAATCCCGCCTTGTACCAGGGTGCCTCTTAAACATCAATTATTCTTCTGATAAAAAGTATATAATTTTTTAAAATACTCTTTAAATATTTTTTTACGTGTTCTCTTAATATGTTCCGTAATGTAAATGTGATAATTGAATTATGATACTCACGTACAATTACGCATCAGAAGCAATATGCTTCTAATTTCTAATAGACAATGGATCTGTTTTCTGTTGTTGAACTGGCTGCTCAAAAAAAAGATAAACTCTTGAACTAGCACAGCTATATATAGCTGTATAGTTCAACAACAGAAAACAGACCTTGATGTGTTTCTAATTCGTCATTCTTTTAAATTTCTTTGTCGAGGCGAAGTCTATTGTAAATTTCCAAGTTTTCTGGAAATACTGTATAATCATTCATTATAGTTTAATCTAGCATGCTAATAATACATATACATCGCATGACTTATCAAAAATTCGGAGCACACCCTTATCAGCATACAATCACGAGAAAATATGCAATATCATAGCGGAAGAAAAGTCAATAAAGGCCAGACTGTCTTTATTGGTATAATAAATATTTATACATCATTAATGCTTTCGATAACGACCCTAAAAACAGTCAATTCAATGCCGGGGAACAAAACGTTCGACAAAAAAGGGTCATTTGTAGTTTTTGCGTTCATTAATGTAGTACTTATAACACAACCTCAGGTTCTTATCAATCTCCTGAACAAAATAAATTATTCTCTCGGTTCTTCCAGCGATGCTCGTAAGGTTATGTTTCCGCGGTGCAGATCGATGGTAGAAACCCGCGCATGATCAGATGGTCTACAGTCAGACTACAGTGTTTAGGTTTAGAATAACACGATGGAATTCAGTCACATTGCCGCTCGTGGCCTTTCACCGCTGCTTGTGCCTTTTAATTCATCCCTTCCAGAGAT